ATATTCATCATAAAAACGATATTGTTTAGATTTTAAATTTTTATAAATTTTTTTGATGCATCGACAATCGCTATCCAATCAGATTGGATTGACAACATTCAACTATTTTTATACCCGAGCAACAAGCGATGTTTGCAGAATTCATAATTTCTAGAAGATTAAGTCGGTCATAACATATTTTTTGGATGATTACTGGCGCCATTTTGCGCGTCTAACTCGATATATAACTCGTCATAATGTTTGTGATGATGAGCAATGTTAACGCCGAGGAAGTAAATAGTGTGTATTAACTGATAAATTACTATTATGTCTATTATGGCGGAGCCAATTTGTGCAGAACGATAAATTATCCTAAATTTATTAATTCAAGGAACATTAGAGCATATGCAAGGTTCTTTGATGTTGAACAATTTTTTTTTACATCGAAACAAAGAAGTTTTTTTTTTATTTGTTAAAACAACTTTTTCATGCACTGGAATTTCTTCTGTCTCATACAAATTCCGCATTCTCAAAGAATATTGGAAATTAGGAATTACAGTCTGAATTCGGTAAAAAAAATTTCAGAAAAAATGGACTTTTTTCTTTGAGTCTGTAAACAATTTTCCTTAATCAAGAAAAGACTTTTTTCAAATATTATAGTAATTTATGTTACGAGACCCGAGTAGGGATTTTTGTTGCCCTAGGGAGGTAAGGTGTTGAGTGACAAAGACACTTTTTGTCGCAGCAAAAGATTCGAATTGAGAATAGTAAAAATTTGTCGACAGTTCTTCATGTAATTATTAAAAAGAAGTGATGACATTATGCTGATTACAAGGGCAGTATTGAGTTTGCTCTATTTGTTGAAGATATCACTAGATCACATTGTGGTGGTGCCACTTTAATGCATCGTCGCCTCATATTATCTCATTTGCTTTTCATCCATGCTACGGCTGAAAAAATGTGCAATGATTCAGAAAGAGTGGCTGGCAATTTTTTATTGATTCAAACAAACATTTATACCTTCAATTATTTCTCGATGATGGTAATACATGACGTAGAACTTCATTCATATTTTCATCTCCAATTAATTTTTGTAAACAGACTACTTAGCTTGTCGGGTTCGGGACGTAACCCTGAGGAGATTTCCTTGGAAATTTAATCTCAGAGAACGTTCCCACTCTTACGTGCTGGACCCGAGTTGGGATATTACGCATTTCTCCATGATAACGTTAAAGTTGAGATTGATGGTACATGCAAAATGGGGAAATATTTTCGAGGGAGAGCAGACTGATAAAGAAGATACTTAAGAATGCAATTTTTTCCACGGGGATGTGATGTTTCAATTAAATTCAATTGTACACGAAGAATATTACTTATTTTTTATATTACCCCGTTGGATATCTGAAATGTATAAATTTATGTTCACGGATGTAAAACCATTTTTTCTGTGAACCATTAACGAAATTGAGACAAAGCGATGAAGTTTTTTTATCCATCAATTAGTTAGATAACGTGTATTCTTACAATTACCACCCTAGTTGCGAATGCCAAAGACGTCAATGAATGCTAACGAAGCATTAAACAATATTCAAATGCATGCATAAAGGAGATAACGCTATATTTTCGATCATTCAGTGGAAATTCATTTTTATCGTTTTTCCTCAATTTTTTTGAAAATTTGTAGATATTTATGGAAAAGCGTAATGTTGATACGATGAAATTTTATAGGGTACTCATAGATCATAAAATGTGAAAACGTCACATTTTTTCACGTCAATTCGACGGATATTTCAGTAGAAGTTGTGACGTGGACACGTGCAGTCTCAGTGCTTTATGACAGATTTAGCTAGTGGTGAGTTTGAAGAGGGGAGGGATAGCAACGTGACACTGTCACAAGCTGAGGTGCATTGGCAACCAACGATGAGGACACAACGTCACAGTTGGATTTTGTGTATTCAAGAACGAAAGACAGGAATAAATTTTCATGCCGCCGTAAGCAGACGGTTTCTCCCTCATTACTCCGAAGATATGAGACGCTCATACACCTGTCGAAACATTTATGAAGACGATTGTCTCTTGCAGACCAGTGAATTTCTGCGTAATTCATGCAGGGGTGTGTTATTATTTATTTTACAAGGCAAACTGAAAAGAAGGATATTCCTCTTAAAAAAATTGATGACACGTTTTGTGTCATTCATTGTTTATCTTTATTTTCCAATGAGGTATTAGGGTTTTAGGAGCGTTTTACACGTTTCCACCGGAATCAGGAAGTGTCACTAGCCTCACGATCATTTCATTTCATTTCATGTGTTTTATGTCTATGTGTGAGTAAATGTACGCTTTATAAGCAGACTTGTAAAGTCCATCGATACCCGCACGGAAAAAAATTGTATGCTGACTTATATAAAACATGAATTGAAATCATAGCACATATATCTTGGCCAAAAATGCCATAATTGAAGTCTATCTCAAATTTATGTGAAATAAATGTTGATTATTTCCAAATCCGATGTAACAACTAACATTAACATTAACATATATGTCTGTTAACACTGTTATATATATATCAAATATATGTATATGAAATATCTGTGACAACCTCCAGCTATGCTTCAAAATTATCTTTCGATTTCCCATTTCAAAGTAATATAAGAAATATATTATTTCATTATACGAGGTATAATTCTCATATATTTCCCGCATATATAATTGATGAAGTATAGTTCCACACTTATCTGGTCTTCCCCTGTTGGTGTAACATTCAGACATTTTCTCATTAAAAAGAAAAGATATTTGGCGGCAATTTGTATAATTTATATTATTTCGATTTTCATTCATTCATTTTGATTCATTGATAAGTAAAAAATGTGTCAAAAGATGTTCTCTAAAAATGATCTACCTATCATTTGCTTATCTGTTGGTGCGTTCATTAATTCAGTCGACATAGACAACGCGAGGGACTAATGTAATTACGACAATGGTTCAATCTATGATTCAATGTCACGGTCACTTACTTCGAGTATTTTTTAATTGGAGAGAATTGGAGAGGTGAATGTTGACGGTGAATTTAAACGAGTATGAATAATAGACGTAATTGGGATCATGAAACAATTCTCTGACATGCGCAAGTACAATTACGATTCGAATTTTCATTTCCATTTTAAATTGTAATTTAATCTGATTTTCAGATTCACTCTATTCTTTTACAATCAAGGATTCCTGAAATTAATGGAATTGCTATTCGAGAAATGAGAAAAAATAAGAATTATTCCAAGAACAAGTCATTTTGAACAATAAGAACATTAAGCAATATTCTATCTACAATAGTCATTCATCAAACACATGAGGCAAAAAACGGAATTGAATATCTTAAAAAAAGTTACTCTTAATTTTTTACTGATACAACTCACTGGATACGATTTTAAATGAATTGAAAACGCCTGTAATTTGATATCGAATACCGCCATTGAATTATTAATGTATTAATGAATCGCCGAAGGTCAACGTCGAAGGCCACTCCATTAACAATTCTGGTGTTCGTTACGAAAATAAATGATAAAAAACTATTTGTCACAGCAAATACTTTCCCAGACATAACAAGCGCGATGACGGCATCATGGATTCGATGATCGTGACAAGTGGGACTTTTCAACTCGGACAATTCACCTTCTGTTGAATTAATCATTTTTACCATTTCTAGGTGTAAGAGACTCGTCTGTTTCCATTCACTAGATTCATATCTGGAACGTTAACAGCGAGGGGAAAAGAATGGAGCAAGTTTAAATTGCATTCAATGACTGTGTGTACTAATTACATCAATCTAAAATAATTTTGCTGATTTGCATCAGATAATTGGTGATTAGCTCGTGCAGGGAGTTATTAATGGCCGGAAGTTAGTTTAATCATCGAATGCAGAAAATCATTTTCAATCCAAAAAAATTGATCGTGTACATCAGACACATGACAATCAGATTAAAAAGCACCAATGCATATTCAGAAGGTGCGACTGCTGATCCAGTTGATGATTCACGTGATTATCTTATCAAATATCTCCTTAATCCGTCGTATTCCTCGAAAGAAAAATTTGTCTTTTCACGAATTCTCCATTCCTCTCTACATTTTTTTTTCTGAATCTTGCCATTGGTGGAATATCACGAGCAGTTAATTCACACGTGTGTTGAATAAATAAGCAACATATGGTCTAAAATGTTGAATAAACGGTACTTGAAAATGAAGATAAATATTAATTTCTTTTCAATTTTCAGACTTTTTTTTTGGTGGTTGAAAAATGTATCGTCGAAAAACTCGACTCAGCAGTTGATCACATGCAAGATTAAATGGAAATGAATATGCAAACGTCTTTAAATCAACCGCACACGATACTTCGGGGTTTATCATTCTATGTGCCGTATAATAGTACTGCCGACTTATTATCTCTCGCAAATGTAATCACATAGCCGCGCAATTCCATCGATTGCGATCACGCGACGACGTGATAATTCACTTGTATGTCTGAGAAAAACAAAATGACTACAGCGTCGACGATAACGGTACACTGAGGGGGAAAAAAATTTCTAGGATCAAGTTCATTCTTGCCACAATCTTCTCTTCCATTGCATTTACTGATGACTCGAAGGAAGTGAATTATTATTATTGAGACTCAGCAGATGATAATTTGTTCAGTACTAGAGCGACAAATTTTATAATAAATTTATCTCTGTGTGAGAGGATTGATATTCCGTTGCATCGAGAGAAGATGAGAAATGGTTTTTCCATTAGTTAGAATATGAAAAACTGAATTCCTCATTAATTCAGTGAAATGAAGACCTTAGATTCATATCCGTCTTCACAACAATGTAGTCGGCGATAATGTTTATGCAGCTACTCAATATCTCCATTTGCCTTGAGGGTATTAATCCATAATAAGCGGGCTCGTGCATTGCAATCATAGATTGAAACGTTTCCTCCTATTTTTTTTCTTTTTTAAATCACTGACGTAGGTGTGTCGATTTTCTTTGCAGGTGGAGGTCAAGATGCAGGGATACGGAAAGATCATCGTCCTCTTGGTTATCGTGGGGTACCTACGACCAACAAGTTCAAATCAGTGCCTCAAACATTATCCAGGTACAATCAAACTTCATTATTATTGTTTAATATCGAACTAATCGACAGAATTTTCAAACCTCGTATTTATTTTCAAAACCATCAACTGTTTACTCTGTCATCGTTGAATGTTGCTTAGTTTTTAAGGGTTTCAATGATCGTATCTACTTGTACCAATTTTCTGAGTTAATTATAAATTTTGTCTTTAGAGATGAACCCCAAGCGAGTTGTCTACTTAGATGGCCAGTCCCTGACGATTCCCTTCGAGTTGACTCAGAGGGCAACCCAAAGACTTGCGACAAGAGTGATGAGGATATTCCTGATGGAAGTTCTCGGTTATGCCGACGTGACATTAAAAGAACCAGACGACGTGTTCGATATAACATCCGTCTTCATAAAGATGGCCAAGAGCTTCGATCCTGACGTCGACAGGTGGATTCCGGAGACGATGGTGAACATGGAGGTGTGGATTTCTCCCCAGACCGAAGCGACAGAACTGCTGAATCAGTTTGACGTTAAAGAATGCGGACCCATCTGTTCCACCGGGAGAATTGGTTGGTTCGTTCCCGAGGAGTTGAGCAGATTCGGTGAAAATTGGCGGATCTTCGCAAATCGGGAGACAGCCGAACGCTTTTCCGTTGACAATGACACTCTCCAACGCATTCAAAAGTCTTCGATAGATCCAGTCACGGGTAAATACTATTGCGAGGCATCCTTTTGTACACGAGGAATGTATATTCCTCCTCAGTGCTTAGCAGAGAAAACTCAGTCCTGCGCTGTTCTCCTCACTTCCGAGACAAACATCACTCAAATCGTTAAAGAACACATCGACCAGCTTAAGCTCTTCGTCAAAGTCATCTGGGTCGGTCCCAATCTACAGAAGCTAACAACTTCTTTGACTAAAGAATATGCAATCTGGAATAAGAGGAACGACCGTAAGAAATCTCTGGTGATGCTTCACTGGACTCCCAGCGAAATCATTCCAAACGAACGTCAATTCATAGCCATTGACTTGCCGAGATGCGGTAGTGGAGACCTCAGGATTGGCTGCACTTACGAGACAAATCGATTAGTCAAGCTCGCGTGGTCGAAGCTCGAGTCGATCGCCAAATTCGCCTGGGAGGCAATCAATCGGTCCAGATTCTACCCATACATGTACGAAGACTTGATAGATCGTTACAACAGGCTATCGGGGAATCAGACCGAGGACGATGTAGCCTGTGGCTGGTTGCGAGACAATTTGAATTATACTCTTGAAGAGTGGATGCCCAACAGTGCTGACAAGAATACATTGTACATCGGTGGTATTTTTCCCATGTCTGGGATAAACTACAGAGACAAATCCATTCTGTTAGCAGCCAAAATGGCAAAAGAAGCTATCAATAACAACAGCACAATTCTTCGGGATTATAATATGGTTTTGCTTGCTAATGATGGCCAGTGCACATCTGATAGGGTAATGAAGTCCTTCATCGATTACATTTTCCATAATTATTACGAGAAACTCGTTGGTGTCCTTGGACCTGCTTGCACAGAAACTGTTGAGCCACTCGTGGGTGTGTCGAAACATTACAGAACAGTCATCATTAGCTACGGCGCTGATGGTTCCAGCTTCGATGATCGATCCAAGTATCCGTACTTCTTCCGAACGATTGGAGAAAATAAGCAGTATCGGTACGTTTACCTGCAGCTATTGAAGAGCTTCGGGTGGAAACGAGTTGCTGCACTTACGGAGGATGGACAGAAGTACACAGAATACATATCTTATATGCAGGACCTCTTGAGGGATAAAGGAATTGATTTTATTGCTAATATCAAGTTTCCGAGGGAGAGAGAGAACAATCAGATGACCCAGTATTTGCTAGACCTCAAACGGAAACGCGCCCGGATAATCATTGCTGATGTTTATGATACAGTTGCTAGACAAATCATGTGCCAGGCGTACAAATTGCAGATGATGCCCGCGCAGGTAATATATTCTCCATAACTTGTTTTGCTTGGGTCGCTGTATCTGACGTTTTTATAATTATAGTAAGTCCCAAAGTAAAAGTACGAGTAAGAATTTGAATAATTTTTTATCGGATGGAATTGATTCCTAAAAAAATGAGTAAATACTTGAAGCACTTGAGAATGTTTTGTTAGAGACAAATAAGAGTTTGAAATAAATATTCATCCATATGGCAGAAGTTATTTGAAAAATTACCAGTTTTAGGGATACAATGAGAAAATGATTATGTATAATAAATTCAATGTTTGGGATTCATGTTTACGACCATTAGAAATCCTCTCGAGTGCTAAATAAATTATTCTAAAAATTATTACAACTTTCATGAAAATTATAAACCCATTACTTTAGGCATGTAAAGTGTGAAGCAAAAAATGACAAGAAGACGAGACAGATCGCATTTAATTGACGCATTGTTATTGTCTTCGTCAAAAAATTTTATTTTTTTAAACAAAAATGCTACTTTGGAGATTCTTGAATCCTCATAAAAACTTGTAAAAGGACAATTCTTTATGCTTTATATTGAACCGTTAGTTCTCAGCTTTCCGATTGTTTGATAATTTGTTTTGATTTTCCTCAGGGCTATGTATGGTTTCTGAATCTCTGGCTGCGGTCCAATTGGTACGACACGGACTACCACAACAAGTACAGCGATGAGAAGGTCCCGTGTAATACGACAGAAATGGTTACGGCTATTAATGGCCATCTTGGAATATCCCATGCATACGTTGCGCCTGATGATAATGTCATACAAACGGGGGAAACAGTCGCCACTTGGCGAGACAGTTACGAACAAGCGTGCAGGAAAAATAATGAAACACCATCGATTCACGCGGCCTATGCTTACGACGCTATGTGGACATATGCCTACGCGATGGATCGACTCATTAGAGAAAATCAAAGTTATGTCGTTGACCTTCACTCTGAGAAGACAGTTAAACGATTGACCAGAATCATTGAGGAGACTGATTTTAACGGGGTAAATAAAGCATTTAATCTACTAAGATCCATACAAATTTTCTATTGCAATCTTGCAACAAAATTATTTCATAATTTCCAATTTCTTCTCTCAAAGGTATCGGGACACATAAAATTTTTCGGTGGTGCGTCCCGCGTCTCAGTAATAAACATCATGCAACGAATAAACAACAAGATCCGAATGGTTGGTAACTTCTATCCCGAGGTATCCCCGATGAGTCACGAGATAATTGGGGGCCAATTGATCCTCAACAAATCGGAAATTGTCTGGTTATCGGAATCGACCCCGGATGATGGATCTGAGCCCCCAGTGCGCTGCATCCTCGGAGACATGCCAGAGCTTCTCAACGTCTCCTGCGAGGCTGCCATAGTCATTGTCAATGTGATAGGTGTGAGTCTTTTGGTGGTGCTTCTAATTATAGGGTTCATCATAGTGAAACGCAAGTACGACGCTAAAGTTCGCCAACATGAGAAGGTGATGGAATCTTTTGGTCTCGATCCACGTCACACGACTTCCGGTCTGGACAAGTGGGAGGTTCCACGCGATCGTGTTGTGATCAATCGTAAACTCGGAGAGGGTGCATTCGGTACAGTCTACGGAGGTGAGGCATTTTTTCCAGAGAAGGGATGGCTTGCAGTGGCTGTGAAGACCTTGAAAACCGGTAGCTCCACCGAAGAGAAGCTCGACTTTCTCAGTGAAGTCGAAGTGATGAAGCGATTCGAGCACAAGAACATTATAAAACTGTTGGGTGTCTGCATCAAGTCAGCGCCTGTACTAACAGTCATGGAGTTCATGCTCTATGGAGATCTTAAGACTTATCTACTTGCTAGGCGACATCTGGTCAACGACCAGAATTACGAGGACTCTGACGAAATATCGACGAAGAAATTAACAGGAATGGCGCTGGATGTGGCGAGAGCTCTCAGCTACTTGGCGCAGATGAAGTACATTCACAGGGATGTAGCATCTCGTAATTGTCTCGTCAATGCGCAACGAGTTGTTAAACTCGGTGACTTTGGTATGACTCGACCGATGTACGAGAATGATTACTACAAGTTCAACAGGAAGGGGATGTTGCCTGTTCGGTGGATGGCGCCAGAATCACTTGGTCTCGGCATCTTTACACCGGCCTCTGACGTCTGGTCCTTCGGGGTTCTTCTGTACGAGATCATCACCTTCGGGAGTTTTCCGTTTCAGGGTATGAGTAATAATGAAGTCCTGGGGCATGTCAAGGCGGGAAATTCTCTCAGGGTGCCCAAAGGCGTGAAGCCCACGTTGGAAGGACTCATCAAGTCGTGCTGGGCTGTTGATCATTCCAAGAGGCCGACAGCTCCGGAAATCGTTGATTTTCTTGCCACTAATCCGAGACTTCTCAGTCCATGTCTCGATGTACCTCTTGCCAGTGTACAGTTGGAGAGCTCTAGGCAACTGGACTTCCCAGGGCATGATAATATCACGAAATTCTCACTGCAACTAGCCTGGCCCATGTCCAGGAGACAAACTGTAGACAATTCGGGGAAAATCATTTCCGATTCCACTAACACTCCTCTTTTGGATATCCATCAGGAAAATAATGTAGACACCCCCATGAGGCACGATGGACAACTACCTCTGCTTTCTGGAGAATCTTCTGCATTGCTTCAACCGATTAATGTTAAACCGGAAGACATTCCACGGTATGTGAATCTTCAACCTCGTGAATTGAAAGTTGGAAATGGAAGAGGGGGGCTACAGGAGAGAAACTTAGAGGATGATATCAGGGAGACGGAGGGTGATGCAGTTTTTTGAAGGGTGTCAGCACAAAATGAGGGTTGATTTATTTGCAATGATGTTTTGTGATACGTTTGATGGGTTATCACTCGTTGGTGGAAGCGTAACGAGACAGTTGGGTAGAAATAATGGATTGGAAGGCACATTGGGGACTGGAACTCCTCTTGAGGTGATTATCGGTGGTGGATATCTATCCGGGGCAGTACCTGAGATGATAACAACGCAATTAAGTGAAATACTTCATTCACTTTGCGTTTTATCGATTGTTTAGATATTATGTGGTATATGTTGTATATTGTATATGAAATGTTTCTTACATATATGCAGGAATACATCCAAGAGAATAAAATTTTGTTTTGAAAATGACGGTGTTCAATAGAACGGGCTGAAAGTAAGAGGCGGGACTTTCACATTATTTGATTCACCATTTTCATTGCTTCAACTTGAAACTTTAAGTATTTGAATGATTTGAAGATTTTTAAAATCATGACTTTGTGTTTTCAGATCTTTTAACTTGAAACTTTATGGACCCACTTGAATGTTAAATGAATATTATAATATATATTTGAATAATCAAAATAATCACGGCTTGTCCTGCAAGTTTCAACTTGAGATTCTTGAAAGGTACTTTGAGTTTTAGCTACTTAACTTTAATTTTCTTTCCAATTTCTCACTGCGACAAATCTAGATTAAAAGAAAATGTCAAGTTAAGTTCTGACACTTTTGAGTGTCGAGACTTTTAGGATTCAAACTACCACACCGCAAATTGAGATTTGTGAAAGTCTCAATTTAAGATGTTTCAAATCATAAATTAAGATCTTTTTTAGGAGGTGATATATCCATCACCACCTGAATGAGTGAGATAGAAACTCTAGCTAATATTGTCCAAGGTCTTCTCAACGAGATCATGAGAAGATATTAATTATCAGCAATTGTAACCGTCATTTCATCATAGAGATTGTCTAGGCAGTTGATTTTTCAAATAATGACACGATCATTGCGGCGTCTCTGAGGCAGACGACGAGTAGTTTTAAATTGAGCTGGAAATCGAGACGAGTTCTGCAATCGATAAATGGATAATACGCTTCTGATAGAGATAATGAAGCTAGGAGAAGTCTGAAGATTGTAATTCGTGATAAAATGTAAGTCGTTGCTTGAGTTATTGAATTGGAATGTGTAAAGTGGAGCGAGAGCATCACAAGTCCTCCGTTGTGCTCTGTGCTTTCACCAAAGTCAGGAAGATTAATGTCTATTTTTGTAATTCATACTCTTTTTATATTGATGTGAGGTATAAAATTACTGATCTACCTGCAAAATTAAAACTGTATTTTGAGACTTTCAAAACGATTCCGTTATGAATTCCACAAATGCCAATTGACCAATTTTTTATGCTCTAGAATCAGTCAAATTTTCAGAAGTCTCTACTCGAAACTTTCTAAAGTCAACCTCAGATTTTCTGCGGCAATGAATTTTTTTTTCAATCACGCATTTTGGAAGAAAACTTGCAATAAAGGATAATTTGAAGGCACGACTTTTAGAAATTCGAAATGGAGACCTTCTTATTCTTAAAAGAAGGTTTATTTTTTGGATATAGTATAGTATATACACGGTCTAGTCAATCCAGTCGACTGACACTGATTATTTATGGATATAATTTTTTATAACTCTTCTGGATGTATGACATGGTTAATTCGGGTATTTATTATTAATAAATAAACTTGTTTCAGGGAACATGAATTAATGTGGTACAACGATGATGTTTGATTTTGTAAATGGAGGAGAAAATGTGCCTATGTAATGAAGTATTATATTTGGATATTAATTCAACATTTTATATGATGGAGAAAAAAAGACAATGAATTATTTATATTAAATTGTCTTTAGACTCTTCCTTTCGTCAAATCCCAATTCAAAATTGGTTTACGAAAATTCATTTACCGACAGTCGGTCACAAGATAATATTCTTCTGTAGATAATGTAGAAATTCGAAAAGCAGTTGGTATTTTCTGAAGTACGGGACGCTTTGATGAGTTGCCGATAGATAGGGTATGGAAATTTCAATGAATGAATTCAAACTTTGTTGGACAGAGAAAAATATTAAAAAATTGATAGGCCACTCTCAGGTGCAGAAGATTACCGCCAAGTACTCGGGTATAATTACATGACATTCTTCACACGAGTGAATTTCATCGGCATAAAAGCAAAGGACATTTCATAAATAACTCATCGTGCGAACATCCTCGCATGTCCCTTGAGAACAGTTACTTATTTAATAGAATCAACCTCTGGAGCTTCTAAATCCCCATCAATTACCAACCATGCAATGAGTTTTTGATCATAAAACCGGTAAGAAGCGCCACTCAAAGATCGTACTCGAGAGACATCAGCATTTACGACTTAATTAGTAATTAAGTTAAACAAATATTTCGTAACTGAATAAAAACGGGAAGAGAAAAAGCTGGAGAATTGACGTGCTTGGTGGCCGAGTGCAGAGGACTAATGATGGAGTTGTCGTGAAATTGCGTTAATGAGTTGACGGAATTGTTGTGATGACAATGGAGGAAAGAGATACAATTGCGCTCGACAATCAAATCCTAATCGGGTTCGCAGCGTGATTAGTTGCATCCATCCATTGGTACCACTCAATTGATTAATTACGAACCACCAGCACGATTACATGATCACTTTCATTAACAATTGCGCAATTGACTGCATTGACTATTGTACAGGATCACGTTTTCAATTTATTATTTCTTCGATTACGCCCCGTTGGAAGACCAAAGCGGTTCTTTTGATAATTATCACTATTAGATTATTATCATTTAGTACAAGCATTCAAATATGTCCCTTCAAATTACGACTGATTTTTTAAATAATTCTTCAACGTTTTGTTTCGAAAATGGGAAGGAAATGGTTAGTTATCTGTATTTTTACCAGATTATTATCACTTTTTCCTTTTTTCATTTTCATTTTATCCTTATTGCAAAATATATACAAAATACATACAAAACATATATTTTGTATGATACACATTCAATATAATAGATAATAGTTTGATATTTTCGCAATAAAACGCACTTCCGGGATGGTAAAAAATCATGAAGTGTAAGTGAGGGATAAATGATTAGATTCAGTTTTTTTGCGAGGAATTGTTGGGGCCCTGTGGCATGTGTCACAAATAATAGACCAGAATGATCAATTGTTTCCTTCTAGATTGAAGTGTGACGAAACAGAAGAGAACTGAACGGCTTATCTGAACCAAAATTTTTCGCAATCCCTTTTTTTTTTCGTTTATAAAACGTCCGCAGATTTTACTCTTAACTCAAGTTTGTGCGTAGGCCCAGGGATCAGACGCAGCCATTCTCTTTTGGCGCCACATTCATTCATATAACTCGCCCGATGCATATATGTACTGTACACAGGGCATTGTATGAGACATTATGCCAGTGAATAGAGTGTCTTAAGCCCTTCGCCCCCGTCACATTTTCACTTCACACATGTTTAACCGGACAATTTAATTTATTATGTCCCCTCGATTTAGTAAGTAAAAAAAAAATACCTCAACATTGGCTGAATTTCAGGCATTGTTCAGGGGTTTTAATGCAGATGATTCACCGAGGTGTGATTGTGATTGAAAATTGGGCGGGGGGATTGACTGGAAGGTATCACTTGACTTAATGCATAAAATCGATGTCTCATTATATTCATTCGATCGTAGATACCCCACGTGCTGTCTTACCATCACCGGTGTTATGCTAATTCATGTGTTTGAGAATACCCTCCTACTTTTTTTATAATGGAACATACTCGATGATATGTAAATTCATTGGCATTTGAATGATGTTTTATAGTACTTTCCTGGTGAAGATATTTAACAGCGGAAGTGGAATTTTTACGGACATCAGAATTTATTTTTCCATTATTTTTTTTCATGGAACTGAAATATTTATTATTGAAAAAAAATTCTTCGGAGAAAATGAATAATTATATTACGAAACATCATTAAAACCACTGATAAAAATAAAGGGAACATTTCTCCTCAACCCTGAACCACAACGTACTGAATGTACAAGACTGGATGAGATAAATGACAACCACTTGTGTCTCGCGTTATTATTTATGTGACGTATTCCATTACGCGCTCTTAATTGTTTGACTAATGTACATTTTAACGGTGCAACGGTATACCACAGGGATATATATATAATTTCCATGATTATTCCTACTGTAATATGATCGCATTAATATTGATTCCGGCTGCTCATTGACTTTTCAATAGGAGGAATTTCGAGGATGTTATCTCACAGCGGCTATTCCAGCCTATCGTCATTTAGCAATATCACCTCTCGGCTCTGTTCTCTTCTGTTCCACGTGGAATGTCTCGGTATTTTTTATCCTCCTCGTCGGTGCACACTGACAGGTGGGGTATGTGTGGGATGATCGTGTGGTTTACGAGTATAATACCGCGAGTTTTAGTCCATTACGCAGTGACTCCTCAGGACGGGTTTCCTCCAGTCTACATGGGCGACATAATTATCACGGGAAATGGCTAGCTCGTTTTTACTCTCACCTTTTAATATCGCAAATTAACCAATCGCCATTCAACAGGACGACGGTCTAATGCGGTTTGCAGTAGCTCCGCCTACCTGATTATACCTCCTCCCCAGTCCTACTCACATCTTCCGGGATTGTGAAATTCAGTTGTCTCCAATTTTTTATTTTCCGGTGTGAATATCTCATGAGAAAAAATATTTACTTGGGAGAAACATGTTTTTTTTTCACTAGGTTATTTCTCAGATTGAATTATTTCTAGGCGATTTTTTTTTTGCTCACTTAGTGTGAGGAGTATGTTTTTTATAAAAATAAATAATTATAAATCCATCAATGCAATACTATTAGAAATTTCTTACAATTTCAGCCGTAATATCATTGGAATTTTTAATTCCATTTTAATTGAAAACGTTCCATTGATTTTAAAACTTTCCATTGATTTAAAAAAATTCAGGTAAATCGGGTTGAAAATCAGAAAAAATGCCTGAATTCCCAACATTTTCAAAGAATTTCAAAAACAATTGTTCACCAAATCTCGAAGAATTGGTCTCTCTTAAAGATTTTCTAACGCTATTGGCCGATTTAAAAAATAGTCAAAAATAATGCACATGGAAATGCGATGATCAAACAATGATATGAAATAATTTTTACTCTGGAGGGATAAGGAAGGGCGACAGAGGGGATGAAGAAGGTTCGAGGTCACGTAGAGAGGTCTTCATCCTGAAGATAGTCAGGATATGTGTGTGTAGCTAGCGTGTGAGACTTGGAGAGGTCTAATAACATTGCTCCAACGGCAAACACGCAATTACGTGTTTTCGATCTTATGCCGTGTCGCTCATTATGCCAGTGGGTTCTGACACGCGCTGAAGCTACTGGCATTTACCTAGTAAATACCGATATCCAATCACGAATGTGTACACAATAAATTAGTTTGTACTTGAAAAACTTCTTTAATAATTCCATAAAATTTTCCTCAAACACTTTGCCCTTCGAGTTACAGAAAAAAATCGGTAATTTTCTGTGCGATCTTTGGAAAAATTTTGACTTGAATAAATTGAGCTTAGCATTCCACAAATCATATTTTCTCGACTGGAAAAATTTCCCACGCTACAGATCGATAGAGTATTGTGCAATCGGTAAAATGGGCGTTTTGTTGTTCACGAATCACCATCCCAAGTGCTATCGCTTGATCGATAAATGTGGCATCGATTAATCGATATACCGGTGGTAGGCCCTGTGAAACACCCCATTCTGACGTTCCTGACAATTTTAAAAGAGGGCAATGCGACCTTTAATGTTATTTATAAAGTGCTCGGTAACTGGGGTCGTATGGATGCAATTCTGCAGGTGACATGAGTGCTGTTGATTGCTCCGAGGACTCCTCCCCTCGTCAACTCTTTTCACTCGTGTTAAAATAGAATGCACTTTGCAAATCAGGGTAATCATTTTTTCAGCACACGCTAGTCTTGAAGGTAATTTATTCCGTAGCTGTCAGAGTTGCAAAGAAAATTATATCATTTCTTCCGTTCAATTAACTTTTCTGATGTTGAAAAAAATCCATTGCAACAATTCAGGAAAAATAAATGAACACATTTTTCTTATATGATGCATACATTAAATAAAATAATCTAAATGTGCGGAAACCTTTTCTCCTAAAAAACTTTCGACCTAAAAAAATTTTTTTAATACCCAATTGTACCCCAGACTGAACTATCAATAAATTTGATCCTCGGTATTGATTGAAAATCGCTTTCCTATTATCTTTAGACAATTAAAACTTAAAAGGCGAAATA